AATATCCAGTTAGATGTTGATTTATCTTCAAAGAGTCTAAAGCATCAGTGGGGTTTGTGAATTTCATAGTCCAATAGAATAATTTATGTAAACATGTTAATCAGAGAGCTTTCTTACCCTTACTGAGCACTAATGCTTGCCAAAGGGTCATATGTGTCAGACTGATGATATCCATTAATGTAATATGGTATTGCATATAAATTAATGTGGCCATAATTAAAATCTCTAAACTCATTGAGAAACTTTCAGAAACCAGATATACTGATTTGCTTACCACTTATTTCCTGCTGTCCTGATGGGATTTCTAGAGTTGGTTGAATTCAACTGGATTTGGAGCTCTGGCTGTCTAGCCAGTGTTTATAACTCAACTCATCTGAAGACAAAGCTTTGTCGCCTTTGCCCAGCATAAATCCTGTGTTGGAAAACTATTGTAGTCAGCGGTGCCTTTCATAAAGTTTTGTCTAAGATTATTTCTAGAATTTTCTCCCTGGGTTTTCATTTGTCAGTTCATTTTGTAATTCATTTTTGAACCACAGTTGGTCTCAACTTATGAGATGAAAAAATAGATCCTGCTACATGCACAGCTCATCATAAGAATTCCTTTAGCAATACGGCAGTTTTGACAAATTTTCTTATGAAGTCATTTATAAAAATTACAGCAAAGATAATAATAGCCACCGCTTACTTCTCACCTATGTTGCGATCGTCACTGTGCTAGGTATATTATGTAATCATGTAAGTTTCTCAAGTTCATTTTCTATTCTTTCTCTTCTCCACTTGGACCTGAATATTTCCTATTGGCTCACCCTTTTAGGTCACGGGTCCTCTCTTCTGCTTTCCAGTCTCTAGTTAAACTTTCGTGCCTTCTCAGAACTTTGGCCTCTGTCTTCAGCTTGATATCTTGGTCTCATGGGCTGCTGTGGAATTACCCAGTGCCTTGTGGAGAAATGTGGCATCAACCTTGGCCTCACCTCAGTATGCTTGTTTTTCTCCATGACTTGTCCTCTGGAATCCAGAGCTCTTAAGTGTCATCGCCACAGATTCCCAAGACGACCCGAAGCTGAGCTCAGAAGCCCAGACCCTGGACCTCTTGGCCATTCTTCCTGTTCAGCTTCATCCCACACTGCTTGCTCCCAAATCTGGAGACTCACCAGCGATGAAAACACCAGTTGATGTTGGGGCCACCTCTATGTTCTGTCCTTTTTTGGGGGGGACCCTGAGCTCTGAAGTCCTGGCTGTCTTGATGGTTCCTTGATACTTTTAAATAAGGGTGCACGTTTGCACGTTCAACATTTCCAGTGGCCACTGGGAGGATCCATCTTTAGTAAGTCATTGTATTTCTGGAAATGCGAAATTCTCAGTTTGCTTTTAAAAGAATCTTGGAGTGTATGAGAATTTTAAAATAGCCCCTGACATACAAGTGCCATTCTAATTACAGCCGTGAGTCACTGAATGAGGAGGATGTTCTGAGAAAGGCCTGAGTAGGAGATTTGCCACCGTGTAGCACAGGAGAGTGTAGTTACACAAAGATGGTTGGAAGGTCACTGGCGGTACAGTCTTGTGGGGCCACTGTCGAACACGTGGTCTGTGGAGGGACCTGATCATACTGTTGAAGGAAAGGGCATCTAGTGTGTGACAATTTCTCATTTCCAGGAGTCTGCAAGGTCATCCTAGACGGAAGTGGGGTTGGATACAGAGCAATAGGACACAGGCTGGAGGGGACAAAAAGATCACGTTTTGGGAAAAAAAAAAAAAATTCTGTGGCCTCTTTAAAAAAAAAAAAAAAAAAAAACACTTAGAGGATTTTCCCCGACACAGTTAACTGGCTTAGTGCTAACTGCTTATTTGCTGACCTTCTGTGTTATTTGCAAATTTAAAGTGAGGCCAGCTCTTCCTGTTTTCATTTCACCGTCATTGCTGGTGAGCTGAAAAAGAGAAGAGCCCTTCATTTCTCAGTGGGGAAAAGCAACTGTGGAGCAGGTTGCTAAGTCCCACGGCCAGGCAGCAGTGCCACAGGCTGCAGGTCCAGCTTGCCTAGAGTCATAGAGCCAGGGGTGCAACCCAGTCACCTGAGTGTTTCTCCCAATCAGCTGCACCTGCCTTCCCTTGGCCAGGTAGCCAGGTCCCCTTTTCTCTATCCCATTGATTCAGACCCTCATTATCTTTTCCCGTCGGTAGACTCCTCCCTTGCCTCCTCTCCCTCTTCTATGCTGCAGCTAGAAAGATCTTTCTAGAACATAGCCGCTGTCACCATGTTAACCCCCTCCCCCATCTTCCAGAACTTGACGATGACGTTCACACAGCTTTCCAGGCTGCCTTGGATCTGCTTTGGGCCTGAGCCTCCTCTCCACTCTGGCCGGCCAGCCTGACCTTCCCACCTCTGGGAGTCATATATAGTCTGCCAGACACCTAGTGCCCTCTGTCCACTGCTGTGCCAGCTGGGCCTCCTGCCCGCTCTCTGGCTGACCTCCTGTCTTCCAACTTAGCCCAGGGGAACCTCCTCTGGGATACCTGCCAGCGCAGTATGAACCAGGTGTCCTTACTTTGTGTCCCCAAAGCCACCTCTGCCCTGCTGCCTGTGCTCTGCACTGTCACTGCATGCCTGTGTCCCCTGTAACCAATAATTCCCAGAAGGTCTTTCATGTCTGGCTCCCTGTGGCCCAGCACATTGCCTGGCATAAAGTAAGCACCCAATAAATCCCAAATGGAGTGTATGTTAAGTTCCCTATAAAACCTTAGCCACTGCCAGTTCTGCTTCCAGTCTGGGTGTTCTTCTCCATGGGGGCTCCTACAATGTTCAAAGCGAGAGACTCCTGTAGATTTTTTAACAGGAAGAGGTAGATTCTGACCTTCCCATTGGTCAGAACATGTTCACCTTCAGAAGTTTCAGTTCGTAGTAAAAGTGACTTTAAGTAGTAAAATTTCGGTAACGGTGGTCTGTGCCAGAGCCCTAGGCCTCTCTCCATCCTGAGGTGTTCTTCCACTTAATCGCTGAGCAGAGGGAATCTGTGCTTCCAAAAATGACCAGGAAACCACTAAATGGGGCCGCTACTTTTCCTCCACAGCTCAAAGAAAACAAGCCCAGTCCAGGAAGGAGAGGCTGTGCTTCTGAGGGTGTCAGCCTGTTTCTAAGTGCTTCACCCTCCTCTGTCCCCACCCACAGCTCCGTGGGGTTTGACTTCCTGTCTGCTCCATGGAATAGGAAGCTGTTTTTCCAATTTCTTAATTAAGACAGGTTCATCCTGTCATTTCCAGAGAGCAGCATCCACGCCCTTAGATGTCAAAATACTCACCCAAAATAAGATAGGCCCTGGGTAAAGGTTCCCTCCCCATCAACCACTGCTCGAAGGACTGCATGTTTGAAAACTGCCCGTTTTCTAGTTACTTGTCATTCATTCACCTTCAGCCTAGAGTGTGTGTCACATTCCCTTCCCTCTTTGCTCAATATGCTCTTAAGCAAATAAGTCATTTTTTAGAGTTATTCTGGAACTGAAAGTGGTTGGAATGCTTTTTTAAAAATAGTATATAATGGACAAGGAAGGTCTTTTTGCTTGCGGTTCTAAGAGTAAGTCTGGTTCTAGCACTTAACTCGCTTTGGGATGGAGGGAATTTATTTGAACTCTCGTATCTCAGTTACCGTCTCTGTAAAATGGAGACAGTAATATACCAACTCAGGGGCTGTGAGGTTTCAGTCAAATGTCTATGAAAGGGCTTAGCCCAGTCCCTGAAATCAGCTGGGAACAGGGAAATGTGAAGTGATCACGGTCCCCCACTGCCATCTTTCCATCCTCCCTGAGAACAACAGTGTAGTACCGCTGTGCTACATCCCAGCCCAGAGCTCACGTACTTTGACATGAATAACTAAAATGCTAAAACTTGAGACATGCTTAAAGAAAGATAATTTACTTGTAAACATGTTAGGATTGCATTCATTCATTCTTCTCCATACCACCCAACATCTTCAAGGTCTGGTAAGCAGAGCCAGCATGCAGGAAGGTACTGGAGAGTGAGTGTGTGACTCACTCCTGGAAAGGATGAGAATCTAAAATCTCCTAGAATCTGGAGTTCCTGAGAATATTCTGGAAAGAGTTAATCCAAAGCTGCCTCTATCACCCTCCTAGAGAGGTCCCCTATGCTATTTATGCAAATGCTTTGTTGAGCACAGATATAATCATCTGTTAGTCACTCAGCAATCCACTCCTGAAGTCATCTGTGCCCCTCTGCCCCGTCCCCCACAGCTAGGGAGCCGTGGGCCCAGCCACACCTGCCTCCCCAACTCACGCTGTCCTGATCTCTGTCCCACCTTCTCCCCTCCTGGGCTGCTATGAGAGATTTCTAATCTACCCTCCTGCATCTCTGAGTATGTTCTTCTCAACACTGAGCCCAAGGAAGTCTGAGGAAACACAGGGTTCCATGGCCCAATAAACTCAGGAGCCATACCTGCTTCTCGGAGGCAAGTGCAATAAAAACAATGAGTGAGGCAGAGTTGAATCCTCTTTAACTTCATTTAACTTGGTGGAAAAGAAAAGGACACAAGGCCAGAAGTCAGACTTTCATCCCTGATAACTGACTTGGGGTGGAGGTACACTGGTGTCTGAGTCCCCTGCCCTAACAACCAATCCATAATCTCAATGCAAAAGAGCCTCGATTATCCAAGTGCCACGAATGCAGAGGGTTAGCTGTAGAGTGCCAATGCTTTCCCACCTAGGAATTTCTGGAAGATGAGTAAAGTAATGTGCTTCACATGCCCAAGAGGAGATGATTTAGCACCATGAAAGGTGAAGCAAAAAGCACTCCCCCATTTGCAGAGTGGGGCAAGATGATAACTGCAGAGGCTGGGCTAACCTCATCTGAAAAACCAAAGTTATCAGACTTGACCTCACAAGGGTGGCTGTGAGGATCCTGGGAATCAATTCTTGTGAAAGCCCTATGTGAACAGGAATCTCCGTGGCTGTCGGTGGGGACCTGTGGTTAACCTGCCTGCTTGTTTGTCGTTGCAGCGGAGGGTGCAGGACGTCATCAGCCCCATAGTGTTCGAAGCTGCCTACAGCCTCGGAGCACATGTGACTGGCGAGGAGGAGAGGGAGCTGCCGGCTTTGACTCCAGTTCTGCGCTGGAAAAAGGGACAAAAGATTGCCCAAAAGAATCAGGTCAGACCCTGAAAGCCCACAGAAATGACCCAGAATAATGGCCAGGGCACACCCCCTCACTGGGCTTCCCTTTCAAATCTGCAGAATGATACACCAGCTGTTTCGAGACTGTTGGCAGATTTAGATGGGTATACAGTAGGTACTCTCTGAATGTTTTATTGGTGGGGGAGGGAATGCAGTAAAGAAGAAACAAGAATTGCATCTTACTGTAATGGTGGCAGAGTTATACATGCCTGACCCACATGCCCCTGAAGCCAGAGCCCCCTACAAATGTGGGTGGGGACCTGACCTGTTCCATGCTCATCAGATTCTGGGATGGGTTGCTCTGTGGAGGAGCTTTGAAGTGACATTGGAGGCAGGGCACCTGAACTAGAGGTGAGCCTGGGAACTGATTCAGTCTGCCGTGAGCCGTATCGGTACAAGGAAACATGCAAGGAATGTGTGATCTGAAATGTGCTCTAAATCTTTCATTAAAACACAAACTCACCATGGTCCGAGACCCTGGGCAGGATCAGAAAAACTGTTTTGGGGAGGGGTAATCCAATCCTCTGGGCAGGGCAGGGGCAGAGCCTTTCAGAACCACCTGCCTTTGCAATTCTTTAGATTGCCCTGAACAGAGGGGGAAACTGCAGAACAGTGACCCCTGTCTTGCAGATTTGAGTGGCAAATGGAAGCTCAGGGAGATCCAGGAGCATAAATGACACCTGAGAATTATTCTCCTCTGAGGCGATGATGCTGGTACCTTTTGTACTCTGTATGAGTCAGTGTTGGCTGGCCCTGGGGATTGGGTGGAAGGAGAGTGCAGCCCTCTTTGGACTCCCAGCTGAGGACAGTTCTCTGTGGAAGGATGTGCAGGTAACCATTGGTGCCTCCACTCATGTCCACTAGAGAAGGGCCTGCAGTGGTCAGTGCCTTCTGCACGTACAGGCACCCGGGGCACTACTACCTTTTGAAACTGGTCTTAAACATCAGGATCGGGTCCCTGTTCCCTGGTGTTGAAGATTAAACACCCAAGAAACATTGAGGCAAGAGCAAAAAGTTTTATTTAAAGGATACAACAGAGAGAGTGACTCCTCTGGAGAGGAAGGGTCCAGATCTGGTGCCCAAAGGACTGGGGGTGTCTTGCCCCTTTCATAGATTGGAGGCTTCCTTTCTTCTCATGTCCCCTCCTCCCATCCTGCCTACATGGTAACCAAAAGTGCAGGAAGAGAGCCATCCAGGGGGTGATCGGGCTTGTGTTGGAAAATGTGATCCTTTCCCTCCCCCAGAGGCTGTTAGGTGATGGGGATTGCTATCTACCTACTTCCTTTTTTTTGATAATCAGCTACCTGTCCTTTGCAGGGCAGGGAGGGGGAGAATGGGACCCAATCCTGATTTTCAAGACTGGTTTCACATTCATGATGCTGCTTTTGACTTAAAGCATAAGCTTCTCTCAAAGCACAAGTGCCATGAGAGGGTGGCCTGCAGGTCCTTCTGGTCACTGATACTGGGAACAGGCTCCATTAGAATAAAGGGAGAAATGAAAGGACATAGGGTACCTGAGTGATGGGGCAGAGGGGAGGGCTGGCCTTAACGTGCAGCATGAAGAAAGCAGGGAGAAGAGGAGAGAGAGAAGACCCCTGGGAATTGCAGCTTCATGTTCTCCTCTGACGGTGAAATGGGAGGAAGAGGCCAGGCTGGAGACCTAGTAAATCAGAATATTATGATAACTCCAGGAAAGTGTTTCCTAGTGCTAGGATCACTCGACTTTCAAAAGTAAAATCTTGCTGGCCTGATAAACATTCTTATATGTGTTATAGAAATGGTTTAAGCAGAGGGTACAGGAATCATTTTAAAACTTTGCATCTCTGAACTGACCCAGTGAGGTAGCTGCCTGCGCAGTTCAGTGTCTATCAAGCCTGGGGCACAGTTTCTACAATGAACCCGACTCTTTTTTTTTTTTAATACTTTTTAGTTGTTGATGGATCTTTATTTGTATGTGGTGCTGAGAATCGAACCCAGTGCCTCATGCATGCTAAGCAAGCACGCTACCACTGAGCTACATCCCCAATCCTCTATTTCTTTTTTCTTTCTTTAAAAAAAAAAAAAAAAAAAAAATTTTATTTGATACCAGGGTTTGAACCCAGAGGCATTTAACTACTGAGCTACATCCCCAGCACTTTTTGTTTTTTATAGTGAGAGAGGGCCTTGCTAAGTAGCTTAGGGCCTCGCTGAGGCTGGCTTTGAATTTGTGATGCTCCTGCCTTAGCCTCCCGAGTTGATGGGACTATAGGCCTGCGCCAGCATGCACAGCCTCTCTATTTCCTTTTCAAAAGAAGAATCTGAGAACAAGGAAATAACTCCAGAGCCAAATATTCAGTGAAAGAATTAGAAGACAATGGTAAGAAATCTCAGAACAACCAAAAGGATAAATCTCTAAAACTCTTATGCCAAAGTGGTGAGAAAACCAGAAAAAGTGAAAGATAAACAAAAGAAAAAAGAAATTATAAGAGATAAAATGGAATAACAGTTCCTAGGCTTAAAGAGAAATAATTCTTTTTTTAAAAAAGGGAAATTTAAGGGCCCATTGATTTATAAGTAAGGTAAACAAAATTATCGTATACACATATACGGAAAAATAAAAACTCCTAGAAAGATAGAAATATGATCAATATGTCATGGTTCAAATATAAAACAAGTTAAAATGTGTTTTTTTTTGTTTTGAATGAATTTTTTATTCTAATTAGTTATACATGAAGTAGAACGCATTTTGAGACATCATACGTAAATAGAGTATAATTTCTCATTCTTCTGGTTGTACATGATATAGTTATACAGGTTGTCTAATCACGTGTATACATAGGGTAATAGTGTCCGATTCATTCTTCTATCATTCCTAATCCCATGTCCCCTCCTCTCCCTTCACTCCCCTCTATCTAATTCCAAAGTACCTCTGTTCTTCCCTCACTACCCTCCTTATTGTGAATTAACATCCACATATCAGAGAAAACATCAGCCTTTGATTCTTCAGGATTGGCTTATTTCACTTAGCATGTTTCGCCAGTTCCATCAAAATGTGGGATTTTGAATGAGTAGAAGAATATAAGGAAGATACTTCACAGCAGAACATTCTCCCATAAATAGAAGTCAGATCTTCCTGGACTATACCTTTGTCTCCGTAGAGAAGGGTATATAACCATGACAGCTGTCTTGTCTCTGCTATGAAAAAACAATCAGGTAGCCATGATAACATTCGAACTGTGGGTTATCAGTCTTTACAGTCAAGCTAAAATCAGAGCTGTGGTGATAGCATAAAATGTAAATGTCATCAAATTCAAGTGTATAGAGATAAAGGAAGAATGACAGATGTTCTCTTAATACCTTAATCGTTGAAATGGGTGAGTCAAGAGATATGGTAAAACTTGATGAAATGAGAAATAGCTGTCTATTACTGTAGAGGTCACCAGGAGAGCATCACTTCTTAAAGTGTGGTCCCTGAACCAGCAGCTGCAGCCTCTCATGGGATCTTGTGTGTTGAGAAAGGAACACTTGAGGCCAACCCAGTACCCCGCCCCCCAAAAAAACACCCAGAAACTCCTGGGGTGGGTCCCACAGTCTGTGTGAACACGCTGACCTGGGGGTTCTGATTCAGCCAACGTGGCAATCAAGAAGCTGAAGGGAGGGATTTGCCTGTCACATCAGGAGGGAGGGAGGGAGAGAGCCCCTGTGTCCCTGAGACCAGTTCTTGTCTTTCGTGGTGGGAATTCGGTGAGAGAGCATCTTCATCTGGTAAACCCAGGACTGTCCTGTCAGTGTGTTTCCTAGAGACGTGGAAACAATCACCAAAAGAAACACAGACGTGCGACAGTAGTTTCCCCTGAGAGAAGGGCACAGTTATGGGAGGTGTGTGGCCGGGGGCTATTTTTTTTTTTAACCATATAATTCCTCGTGAAATTAAAAGATTAAAAAAAAAAATATTGTTGCTGGATTGGGAATATTGTCCAGGAGCCGGAGAAGTGTTCTGAGAAATTCTTGCTTGTTCTGCTTTTCCTAATTATAAAAAAAAAGGGGGGGGGAGGGGATAGTTTAATGATATTCTTCCATGATTCCTCCATGTGTCTTCCAGATGTTGGCTCAGTTTAAGGGGCGGAGCAGTTGAGAGCGAGGCCCACTCCAGGAAGCAGAGCTGATTTTTAATGAGAACTCAGGAGCCAGCTGCACCCCAAATAGTACTTGAATCCCTCCTCTTTGTTCCATTTCTGTTTCAATTCCCTTGCCCCGGGCTAGGCCATCATCATTGGTTACCTAGACCAGGTCACTTCCCTGCTTAACCCCCTCCAATGGCTGTTCCTCTTTGTAAGGTCCACAAGGCTGCTCAATGGGGCCCCTACCTCTCCAGAATTGTCTAGTGCCATCTGTTAGAGTACTCCAAACTTACTAAGCCCTTTCCTGCCTCAGGACCTTTGTACATGCCAACAGTGTTTCTCTAAAGCTCCTCATCCTGCTTTTAAAAAAATTTTCCTTCTTTCTTTTTATTTATATATGATAGTGGAATGCATTACAATTCTTACTAAACATATATAGCACAATTTCTCATTTTTCTAATGACCAATTTTTCATGTTTTAGGGTTTCAACCTAAATCTGACCTCCTCGCAGAGCCATCTCTCATCTATCCTGTATTCCTTGACCTAGCTGCCTATTTCATTCCTTCATGATACCAATTATAGTTTATTCTCTCATCCACTTGCTTTTATGTGTCCTTCTCTAGAACGGAAGGCCAGTGAGAGCAGAGGTCTACTTAACCTTATTGGCCACTGATCCCTAATATCTTGTCTGGCTTATAATAGTGCTTAGTAAATATAAAGCCCTTCTGAAAGAATATAAGGTTAGGCCATTCTGCAAAGTTTGGACATCAGAGTTTCTTCACTGACAGATTCAACAAAGCTCTATTGTTTAAAAAAAAAAAAAAGAATAAGTACTCCATGATCCCCCAGGGAATTTACCATGGACCAGAGACAGT